AACCAGAATCTAGAAGCAATGCTTTTAGCTTATACTACATTTTGTTTCTTCATTCATCTGTTGATGGACACAGGTTACATCCATCTTTTGGCTATTGTGAAATTGGTATGTAAGTATCTGAGTTCCTGCTTTCAAATCTTTTGTGTATAGATCTTGGAGTAGAATTGCTGAGGCATATGGTAATGCTATCTTTAACTTGTTGAAGAACTGGCAAACTGATTTCCACGGGACAATTTTACATTCTAACTGGTAATGGATGTTGATGTTACGTTCTATTGAGTGGGTTCCGACTCACAACAACCCTGTGTACGACAGAGTGAAACTGCCTGGTCCTGCACCATCCCCACAATTGTTAATATATTAAAGCCCACCGTTGCAGCCAATGTGTCCATACATAGGTTTCAATTGACTAACACTCCCAATTCATATTTAAAAGAAAGCTCCCCTCTTTGGTTACCATCTTGGTCTTTAGTTTGTCCTTTACCTCATCCCCAGCTAGCTAAACATGGACTCAATGTTGTGCTTATCAGCCGGACACTGGAAAAACTACAAGCAATTGCCATGGAAATTGGTGAGTGCTCCCAAGAAGTAAGGGTAATATTTGTGGACTCCATCAGCCCAAACAGCTGTTTCTATCTTCTTTCTACCTGTAGACATACTGGTCAACATCCTTACCTCTGCTCTCTAGGTCCCAGGGCACAAACCCTCCTGTGGGGAGTCAAGTTTACAAAGCTAAGGACAAGACCTCAAGTAGTGGCTTTAATTCACCAGTGATTCCTTGGGTTACACGAAGCAGGGATAGTCTCACAAATGCATTCACTTTCTCCCATGCTCTTGTGTCAGTCCCTTCCAGAGGGCCTCGCTGCTTGGTTGCTCCTGTCACTCCTTTCAAAACAGATCTATGTTTGGGAATTCTCTCTCCTACTCTTCTCCTTGCAAGAGGATAAGGATGGTGCCCACTGGTGATTTTAGATGAAAACAAGAACAACGTTTTGATCTAGGGCAGCCAGGTACACAGTGCAGCACCAGCAGACATCATTTATATCATGTCTTTGTTGCTGCTTTGGCTCTGGTTCATGAAAAACTTTTATAAGAGAATGAAACACTTCCCAGTTCTATGCCATCTTCATATTAATTTATATCATTATATTTTATTATGATGACCCACTCTGAAGTGCTCTTAGTTCATAATGATTACATTATTTCTATTTTGGTATTGGAATTTTAATAAATTTCAATACCTTAAATTCAGGGAATGAGTTATGAAGACTCATTAAATTGGTAAGTTAGTCTGAGGACTTGGTTTCTCAGGAGGATATGGGGGGCGGGATGTGATAGGTGCAAGACCACCATTTAATCACACCGGGGAAGCTTAGTGCCTCAGACTGATGAGTTTTCCTTTGTTCTGGGTGTAGATATTAGATGGAACTCTGACCAAGAACCCCACATTCTTCAAAGTGCCCTTTATCGTCCTCTTAAAAAGCAAGCAGTGTCTTCAGAGTGGACTGAAAGCAACCTTACCTCCCAAGTTAAATTTTAAGATAATGACCCAGAAATATTGGGCATAATTCCCAAAGTTAAGTAAGCAGCAGTTAGTGAAATATGCTCATAGCTTATATATTTGCCTGAAAACAGCTAAAAAAGACAGGCTAATCGTTGAACTTAGAAGAGTAGACCTGGTCCAAATCCTACATATGTGTACCGTTGGCCAAGTCAGTTAACTTCTCAGAGTCTTAATTTTCCCTCTGTAAAATGGGGATATCAATATTTGCCTTAGAAGGTCATAAAAGCCAAACCAAACCCATTACCACTGAGTTCATTCCAACTCATAGCGGCTCTACATAGGGTTTCTGAGACCAAATCCTCATGGGAGCAAAAAAGGCTAGTTTTCCTCCAGAGGATCTACTGGTGGGTTTCAAATGATGACCTTGTAGTTGGCATGTCAGTGGTTAACTCATACACTGCCAGTGGTCCTTAGAAGGTGTTGAGGATGATTGGAAAGCATATTTTGTTCATGAAAATGATTTTTAATTCTAAAATATTATAGAAATAGTTTTTCTGGTGGAAGGAACCTGACACTTGAACAGAGGCAGCATCAAGACTTCATCTTTTACATCAGTTAGTCCAGGGATCTCACAGTTAGCAATGCATAGGCATCTCCTCCAGGGGCACACCTCAGATTTTGGATACAGTAGGTGAAACCCAGCTCAGAGAATTTGCATTTTGAGTTTCCCAGTGATCTTGCTGCTGGTGGCCTGTGACTCACATTTGGAGAACCACTGGGCAAAGCCCTTTTAATGCACATACTTGTCACCATGATCACGCTTAGAAACTCTTAGAAACCATCCTTCACAATCTCCTTGCTCCGCCTAATATTGACACAAGGCTATTATTTCTCATTGGGGTCACAAGTTGGTCCTCTCAAGTATCTTCTCAGACAGTCCAGGAGCTTCAGAGGAGATCTGCAGGCAGGAGGGCACTCAATCCCTCTGGATATTGAAAATAACTGTTATCTTAAATGCAGAGCGGACTACTGGGAGCAGTGTGAAGATTATACAAGCAGATTTTACCAAAGATGACATATATAAGAATATTAAAGAAAACCTTAAGGGCTTAGAAATTGGAATTTTAGGTAAGTAAATTGTGATTTGTGAGTAAACTCTGAACAAAGCTTGTTGTGTGCACCAGTGAAATAGATGACAATTATATATGATAATTCAAACTTAACTCATGGTTGTATTTTAAATGACAGTGTTAAATTAAATACTGAAGCTTAATATTTCAAGAGGTCTTACTGAATTTATATAGATATATATAGCTTTGGAATATATCTAACTTAACATATTTGGACTTTGGGGCCATATTTTCTAATATTAAAATGAATTTTCAATTTAACTGATATCCTAAAAACATTGACCCAAAAGAAGTAAGTTAGTCTAAAAGCATCACAAGGGTTGATCTGGGAATAAGTCTGGTTACTTGAATATAGAGTCTCATTTAAAAAACAATATAGTCTTTTTTTTCTGTCATGGTTTATAGACAAGATGTCTTATAAGAAAATACACAGTGTGATGTTTGTATTATATACAGAAGGAAGATTCATGTATTATATTCAAGCATATCATTGTAGAATATTGAAAATAATAGATGCACATCTAAAAGGAATATAAATTCTTAAAATCTCAAATTCTGGGATATAATTTTGTTACATATTCTTCTATGCATGCAATGTAGTGAATTATGTAATATGGCTCTTCTTGCCAATACCTTTATTACTCCCACCAAATGATTTTTACCTGATCAGGCTGGTAAAAAGATGGGGGAAGGTACTGATTGTGTTATACAATTCAGCTGTGAGTGATTGCCATCCTGCTGGGTATAAAGTGAGCCATCTCAGAAGCAGGAGGAGGTAATTTCATTACCAGCAAGAGACAGGAATGGAACATGTCTTGTGGACCCTGCACAGTGAACCTCCTTGGCACAGGATGACAAGCTTTGACACTAGAAAAGTAACAGAGGAGCAGCAGCTGTAGAAACAGAAGCCAGAGCATGAGACAAAGTAGTGGGCTTCCCAGCCCATAGAGCAAGTACAGCTGAATGCACTGGTGCAGGTGACTGCCTCGGGGCACTTAATTCAAGGAGCTGAGTTTGCTGAGTTTGCTCAGGGTTGAGGCTTACAGTTGAGTGTCATGCCCTTTGGGCATTTTATTAGCAGCTCTAAAAGAACTTTGGGATATGTCCTGTCTAAATAACTGTATCCTGAATATTTCTCATCTGAATTGTAAACTGTTAACTTTTTTGTAAATTGTTTGTGACTTCTGTGTGGGAATGAATTCTAGAACCTAGCGGAAAAGTAGAGTGCTGTGAGAGACAGAATAAAGAATAAAATATATTTTCTTTCAAAATTGGAAATAGTTACATATTGCTTTGTAACATTTTCCTTAAACTCACATCACTATTTTCCCCCTTGTCCATAAAATTCTGAGCAGCAATGTTTTTTACTGACTGGATTGTGTTCCACTCCTTTAATCTTCTTTAGTCTTTTTTTTAATTAGACAACAATTTTCCCTCCAAGTTCCCCAGTTATCAAATCATGTTTCAATGCAAAACCATGTATATAAATTTCAATGAAAGAGAAGAATTTCTAGGTTTAATATAATCATTTTAAAGACTTTTAATAAGAATTCGGCAGCTGGTTATTTGACACATTTTTGTTTTTTCTCTCTCTCTCAGTCAACAATGTTGGAATGCTTCCAAATCTTCTCCCAAGCTATTTCCTTAATGCACCAGATGAAATCCAGGTAGACTTGAGCTCTTATACGTATAATATCCTCCTAGTCAAGTATTGGGCTCCCTGGCTGGATAATCACCAGGGTCTGGGTATGAGGGTAATATAGTATATGTCAGACCAAACTTCTGTACTGAATGTTGGATATTTTGAGGTATCTCTGTCATTTCATCTTAGTACTTGATGAAAAACCAATGATTCCACTTTTCATGACCATATCTAGGCTAAAGACAGCTTCCTCTTCTTCACACGTGGTAACTTACCTTCTCACTGTCTCATTGATGTATGGCCAAATTCTACATGACAAATTCATAGCCAACCCTTGGCTCTCTTTGTCATCCCAGATAATAATTGTGTTAGTCTGGGTAGACTAGAGAAATAAATCCAGAGAAACTCACCTGTGTGAGAGGAGAGCTTTATATCAAAGAGTAATTATATATTAAGAAAACATCCCAGCCCAGTCCAGATCAAGTCTATAAGTCCGATATTAGCTCATATGTCCGATACCAGCCTATAAATTTCTCTTCAGACTCACCCAAGATATGCAATGATGCCAAATGCAGGAAGGTCACAGGACAGTGGGTGAAAAGTCTGTGGATCCAGTGGTGGTTGAAACATCTCAGCACTGGCATGGGTCTCCACATGGCTCCTCTAGCTCCAGGGCTCTGACTGCCGTCAGCATTGGCTCCATGTGACTTGTCAACAGGAAGCATATAGAGATTGTGGTCTTTCTCCCCGGAGAAAAAGAGGAAGTTCCCAGAATCTTCCTGGAATGTGTTCCCTTGTTACGTGATTGACAGGCTAGACTCTACCCATACATCCTATTTATCAAGTTGACATGAAATTATATAACTACCACAATAATATTTGTCCAACTTTTAATATCAGGAAAACATGATACAGACTCTATGGTTGAAGTATTGCAAGTTCAGTAAGCTTGATTCAGACCCATGTCTACCATTGTTGGTCATGACAGAATTGCATGCCTTTAACAGTTCTTCAAGGTCTTATTTGTTGACCCTTTCCCAGGTCTTGACCTTTGAGGTGATTGGGTTATGTCAATTCCAGACAGGCAATTGTTCTATTCTTCAATCCCTGGTCAAGTACCACCTGCAAGTATTGGTGCTACTTAAGCCATGAATAGACGACTCTGCCACATAATGCAAGTTGCTTGATTACTGCTGTCATGTCCTTGCTGCACTCCTCTTTTGACCATTCATTTAACCTCGTATCATCTTCAGCAATCCCTATTTCTGGCACAATCTGTCTCTCTCCACTAATGTATCACTGATACTTCATTCTTGCTTCATTTCCTCTATTTATGCCTATTTGTGTGTTTATCTGTGCTCATACTTGTGTGTGTGTGTCTCTCTCTTGGGTGATTCTATTCATTTCCATATCTGGCCTCTCTGGATCACACAACCATTTGCCTTTCCAATCTTTATGTTACTGCTGTCTAGACCTACATCTTTTAACCTCTCGTCCTTCAACTGGAAATTGAACATTTCTCTTTGAAAAACTCTTCATAATCCTTGTTATTTTCAAGGAGACTCACATTGACTTTGATTTAAGATCGCATACTTATAGAATCATAGAATGGATGTCAGATGTTACCCAAATTCAGTCTATACTTAACGAACATCTAAGAAAGGCTGAATTTGCAGGCTGGGTGAGTGATAGCACAGCTTAGTTCCACACTTCTGCTCCCTGCATGATTCATTAGTATTGCCTGCTCCCCTAGGGAATTTCTCAAATGACTGGGCTGATTCATTGTTGTTATTATTGATTACAGAGTCTCATCCATTGTAATATCACCTCAGTCGTCAAGGTATGTGATAAATGTGTGCCAAACATACGAAATGCAATATCTTTTGGAATCTGGAGACTCCGGAGAATACTTCCTTCTACAATAGAAGCAGAGTTCTTTGAAGTTCAACTGCTCTTGATTGAGAGGCCATGTACTGGTCCTTGCAGTGTGCTATTTTTATTTCATCATGAAAAAACACCGAGGGAGCCATTCTCTTTAGTATCTATTCTAAACTCTATTTTTGTGTTCAGTTTTGTCACATATCAGAATGTATTATGTCTAACTGTTAGGTTCCTGGATTAGGGTTCCTCTGTTCTTGCTTCGCAGCACTGAAAGGATTCCCGCGGCAGAAGCACATTTGTAATCCAAGTGACTTTTAGGAGGAAAAAGGGAAGTTCCAGGTTTTACAGTCTTAAAAAGCACATGCTGTTTCAGGAAAGTGTACAAGTCTGCGTGGAAACCGCAGAGGGGGTTCACGGCTGAAAAACCACGTGGAAAAACCATAGGAACAAGAGCACGAAACCACACTTGCAGCATTAGGAGATCGCGGGGGCCAAAAGAGAGGCCGAATAGGGAGCTTTGGCCCCCACATTGGAAAGGTTCCCACCCTCTGCCTGCCCAGCACACCTTAAATAGGGAGATGCCCTGCCTGCTGACTGCTTTTACCCCCACTGGCTGGGAGGTATTGAGGGCTTGAGGGTATTGGCCGATTCTATTAGCTGAGTTTAAGCTCACCTGTGTGATGTCATGTGGCTGGGCCTAGTCTGTGGACCCAGGTGGCTTGTGTTGGAGCATGCTTAGTTTGGATCAGGCGTCCTCAAACTACGGCCCCGAGGACATTTATTCGGCTTGCCGGGTGTGTTTGCCCCGTTTTGTTTTTTTAACTTCAAAATAAGATATGTGCAGTGTGCATAGGAATTTGTTCATAGTTTGTTTTTTTTTTTAACTATAGTCCGGCCCTCCAATGCTCTGAGGGACAGTGAACTGGCCCCCTGTTTAAAAAGTTTGAGGACCCATGGTTGGATCTTCTAATAGGTATCTAATGGGTGCCTGATTTCTTTCCAACCCCTTTGTTGTGGCCTTATGCAGACTTTGGGGAGACAACCCCCTTAGTTCCTGTTCTGGCTACCTAACATAACAATGCTGATACTCACTCAGGATTCCTAGGCAATTTTAAAAGTTGAATCCTTTCCTCAAATTTTAATCATTTAAAAATCATTTTATTGGGGGTTCATACAGCTCTTATCAATATACATACATATATCAATTTTAATTTTGTGTTGAGGAAAGCTCACTCTATTTGGAAAAATGACATAGTATATGTTCTTGGCATTTCTGGGCTTTTGTTGTTCAATGAATATTTGTTAAAGTTCTAGTTCACCTGTATTCTAATCCCAGTTTAGGTACCAATTAGTTGGTTAGCATTGGGCAAGTTATTTAACTCATTTGTATTTCAGATTCTTCATCTCTTATTAAAATGAGGTTCAAACTTTTCAAAACTCAAATCCTCTGGTTAGAATCCACTGCATTTATAGCGCAACCACCCATTGTTCTCTTATGCTATTTGTTAATAAGAAAAATGTGCTTCCTCTGGGCAATTTAGAAAAAGTGCTGCTTAAGTGTGGATGCAGACACTCTGGATGGTGCAGATGGTGAATGCGAACAGAGGCTCCCTGAAAGGCTTGGCAATGTCCTTAAAACGTTCAGGATGAAAAGTCTTCGGAACACAGTTCCTACGCTGACACACAGGCAGTTACCATGAGTTGGCAACTTAATGGCCACTGTTTATTTTAAATGGGGACACAGCCTGATGCTGGCGATGTGCTGAGTGGATGATGCTTTCCTGATTATTGCAATGAATTATCAAAACCGAAAGAATAATTTAAAATGTACAAAATAATTTTATTTTCACGTGAATAAGGCAGGTTGACAACAATTATTTTCACTGGTGGTTGTTTCTCCTCTAAGCATGTTGTATTTTATAATATCCTGTTCGTTATTATTGGGCACATACTTTTTCTGCGTGTTGAGCAGTCAGTGACTTTTTAAAGCCCCTAACTGATGAAATTTTAAGTCATATATGTCCAATTGTTTGATAATTCATTGCAATGGCCACACTCATGAATATAAAGCCTGCTAGGGAAGCTAGCAGGTTACAAACCCTTAAGGACCCTATTTTTCCATCTGCAATGCCTCTTTTCAGTAATGCTC